TGAGAGTCCTTAATGCCAGCAAAATCCCTCTCTGTAATCAGAAGGGGAAGCTGGCAGCCAAACAAGGTCTCCTGTAACATAGGGCAGAGCAATGTCATGGCTGTGCGGTGCAGCCCGGCTGGCTCTGGGCAGCAAGGTTGGAGCTAATCTCTCCCTTCCTCCCTCTCACCCCTTATCCCCCAGACAATGGCCCTGCCCACGCCAGCTCCATACTCAGAGGGCTCTGATAAGCGCTGGGAGAGCAGCTCTGCTGCGAGGCTGCTTGCCCCCATCTGCCTTTGTCCCAGTTTTACACCAGCCCCTGGGTGTGAGCTCACCCTCTTGCAGGGATTTCCACCAAAGGAGCAGCTTTGTCCAACATGTCTGTCTACGGGCAGATTGTCTCACACCATCTCCCAGCGCTGAGGCAGGCTGCTTCCCTGCTGCGTGCTTCACAAGGAGCCCAGCAGGCTGCCTGGCTCTCCCGGTTTTCTTGTGGTGTTGGTTCTGACAGCTCAGGAAATTAGAAAATTTACTTGTGCTGTGGATGCGGCAGGAGCAAAATGAAAGGCAGCAGCCAGGTATCTGCAAGGGGCGGTGTGGGGGCCATTGCTGGCAATTAGGAGAGTGAGTTGTTTGCCTGCGGGTTGCTGTATGGAGAGATGAGAGCCGTATTTCACCACCTCAGCTTGGGGGCTGCTGCTGAGAGGCTGGGGGTGAACATATGTCTTCCTCCTGCCTGGCCCTGCTTTTTGTTACCTATGTGCAGTGGGAAGCCTGGTCTGCTCCTGTGCACAGGAGCAAGCAGAGGGAACAGGGGCTGAATGCTGGAACCAGTAGTGATATGGCTATGAGGCATAGCGGATGTTTGTTTGACTTTTGCAAAATGAGCCATGAAGTGGTGTAGCACAGAGGATAGATTTTGGAGTGCCCTTCTCATCTTCCTCCAAGGTCCTCATCTTTGCTGGTTTCTGGGCTGTGAGATCTCGGGGAAGTTTTTCATGTTGTGTTTTCTCTTCCTGCATTTTTGTCTCCTCACTCTTCTTTCCTGCCCCACATTTTTGCTGTCCACACACCCTTGCTTAGCTCTCAGCCCCTCACACCCAACACTTTTTCTTCCTGCCCAGTTTCTCTACCAAACTGTAAACTGCTCCCCAAGCAGTGGCTTTTGGGGCTCCCTAGCTGAAAAGAGGTCCCAGACCCATGCACATTCCTGCTCCTAGCTGTGGGGCGTAGGAAGCGAGTTGTGAGCTCCAATGGAACAAAAGGACCCTGCAAAGTGGCAGCAGCAGAACGGGAAAGCATCGCAGAGGAGGCGTGAGTGGTTTCAAAAAAAGGAAATACAGTGAGGCTGCATCTCCCCAAGAGGACCCTGCAGCCCTGCTCCATCGTGAGCCCAGGGACTTGGATGCTATTAGGCAGTTCATTAGTAAAACCTCTGAGCCGTTCCCGCTGCTGTTGAGTACCTATTAATGCCTCTTGAGGGGAGAGGAGAACAACGTGAAAGCACAAAATCTGAGGGCCCTTGATCTCTTTTTGGGCTGAGAGGTCGGGGCTGGGGCTGAGGGGCAGCTGTGGGGAGGAGAGGCTGCGCAGGGACGCGGGGCGTGAAAGCAGCAGCTTTGCACATCCCTGATTATCTTGAAAGTCTGAGTGCAAAACATAACCCGACTTGAACTGCAACTTCTCAAAACCTCCCGAGGGGCACGTTGGGGTTATAAACACCTAGTCAGAGCCCTGCTTCATGTCGAGTTCGAGCCAGGTATTCTTGCACCATAGAGAAAGCAGGCAAAACCTGCACAGATGTCCCTGACAGCTGCAGCTGGGCTGCGGTAAGCCACCCCTGCTGCGACAGTTTATTAGCACTGCGGGGTCTGTCCCCTTCTCCTTGCTTGTGTATACAGTCAGCTGTTAAAGGACACTGACATCACTTAATTAATGGTTTAATTGAATCTCACAAAGGGATCGAAATTGGCTGCCTGACTCCTGCCACTGAGATGCTCGCATAGGAAATAGTAAATCACCAATTCAGCAAATAAAGCTGCACTCTAGGTAGAAAGTCCCTGTTGTAGGAGTGAGGGAAATAATTCCTCTTTGCACAGTAATATGCTATTAGAGATAAGTCTGGGGCTATTTTTTTCAAGCCACCAGGTGTCATCCCTGGCCAAGGGAAGAGTAACTGGGTTAGACTATCTCCCCAAGGCATTCATTAATGGGGAAACAGACCTGAGGTAGCACTTTAAATCTGAACACTGTTTTGTATTTCACCCCCTGTATAATGGAGGAAGTTACACATGGTATTTTAAAATGAAGGGCAATACTCAAGAAAGGCCATGGTAGAACTGGGATGAGGCTTTGCAGTCAGTAGCACCTTCTGAGCTTGTTTTCAGGAGGAAAAAAAAAAACAAAACAGCTTTTTATGAGAATAGGGAATCAAAGATGAGCAGGAAGTGGAGAGAAAAAATGTCCCAAAGCAACGGGAAAGCCTAAAGGGAGAAGATGTGACCCTAATGATGGTGCTAATGCTGTGGTCATACTAGTCAAGTAATTGCTGCTCAGGAGGAATGTGAGCCAATAGAAAACAGTATTCTACCCAGGCACCAGGAAAAGCAATTAAGACTGGTAAATACCAGTGGTTGACTGGGCCTTTAATTAATAGTTTCATCTGAAGGGTAAGGAAATCATTAAGTGCTATTGGTGTCTATTAATTCCCTGCAAGAGGAACCACAATAGAGGGTTTTAAGAGTTCTTTCACAGTACAGTGTGTGCGACCGAGCCCTTGCATGAAGAGGGAGATCTTGCTTTGTGTAGTTGTGCTCTCCCGTATCACTGACAGCTGCCCCTGAAGCCTGGGATTTGCTGTGAAATAAACAGCTCAGACCGCGTATTTAGCTAGGACACAGCTTAGGGGGTGCTCTGTCAGGGCTGGAGTGAAAGCGGCTGGAAATGTTAAAAGGTGCACAACTGAAGCACTGTGCTGGAAAGCTTAGGGAGGATACATAGAACTGGAGGTTCAGAAGACAGATATTGCTTGCTATTTTAAGGACCTGGTCACTAAAGTGTGAGACTAACATCAGTCCCTTCTGTTCAGGATGGAGAAAGCTAAATAAACATCAGTTGGAGGAAGGAGTAGAAGTAGGTACCCAAACCAAGCAGAGTGGATAGGGAGATACAACACCCTGCTGTACTAACAATGGTTGTGTATCAGAAGATTTCATCAAATATTCAGAAATGCTCAGAAACTAAGGATGTTACAGAGCAGCCTCTGTTCAGGGCACAGCCTTGATTCTAAGTCTGGATGAGAGAAAGATTTACTATAGTTGGTATTTGATTCTCAAGTCATCCACCTACTCTTCCTTGAATTTCAAAAAGACCACAGATCTTTTTGTTATCTTGTTTTTTCAATCCATTCCACTGTATTTGTCTAACATGGGCATTTCTGCTGCATTGATGCAACAAGCAGCTTGTGGTACAGAATGGTAGTGTTTGGTTTTCTCAGTGTGTGTTTTGCAGTGCATCACTGACAAGCCTGCCAGCACTGACTGGTGCTCTCCTTTGTCATGGCTAGTACAGTGCTCTGCAGAAAGCAGTCTGCTGTGAGGCACTCCAGTGCTCATGGCTGCCTTTTCCAGCTAGCTGCCCAGAGAGTCAGAATTAATCTTTGTGGTTCGTAGTATCTTCTCCTTAAAAAGAGTAATATGGAGTCACTAGAAGCTCAGCCATGTTTCTGGAGCAACGGGGAAGCTCTTCTAGTCTGTCAGACATCTGTGAAGAACCTCTCTTCCTTGCTGTCAAATTTGAGACAGCTCAAGGAACTTCCCTTCAAGATAACTTCTCCTCTATTCAAATTCAGACAGTTGGAGTAAGGTAAGGGATTCATCTGGATCTTATTTTATTCTCTTCTGTCAAATGCAACTCAACAGGCTCTTCTAAGCAGACTGATTTCTTTCAAAACCTGCTGTATGCCATTCAGCCCCATGAAGGAGGTTCACTGCCTTGTTGCCATGGTACCCTTTCTCTAAAGAGGAAGAGAATAGTTAATTATGCAATTTAAGAAACGAAGGAGGAACGACAAAGAGAAATAATAGAAAGGAAGATTCTGGGTTTGTGATAAGACTGCTGGCTGCACCAGAATACACTGTTTACAAGTGAAATATTTGCCCAGTGTATGCTGTATATAGCAAAGGATTGATTTTCTGGCAGCATGGATTTCAAGGAGCTGCCCTGTGCTAGGCAATGTGCTTTTGCCATCCAGGAGATCAAGCCTGTAGTCAGTTACTGCTGTTACTTTCTTTGGTTAACATTCCAAAGAGACTCAGACATATTTGTTTGGCTGCAATTCTCTCTGGATGGAGGTAGGGCAGCAATAATACATCACAAATCCGTGACAAGCCCATGCTGCCTGTGGATATACAGAAGCACAGTTCAAGATGAAAATGTTTTAAATCTTCTTGGCAGCAGTTTGTTGTTCTCAGGCCTAACCCCCTGCTTGCTTACCCCAGGAGCTCCAGCAAATCCAGTTTGTGGTGCACAAGGCAGAACCAAGGGGATTGCAAGCAGCAAAACTGGCACAATCCCAGCCCCTTGGAAGGACTGGCATTTTCCATTTGCCAGCAGCACTGACAGGCTGGCTACAACGTGATTGCAACAAAGCACCACAGCAGATCTTTGACAGTAATGGAATCTGACTGTGGTGCTCCACGCTGTGCGAATGGTGAGAGTCGCTTCACGCGCACCACAATAAGCTCTGCAAGCCAGGTGGAAAAGTGTTACCCCATGCCTAGTTTCCAAATGTGTGCAGTAAGAGAAAGACAGAAGGAAGATGAAGTGACCCCATGCAGTTGTTTACTACAGAAGACTGGAAGGAGATCTGATTTAGTACATACCTAATATTCCCCCTTCTACCTAACAAGAACAGTAATAGCACTGAAGGCTAGACAAGAGCCACATACTGTGGAAAGAGGAAGAGAGCAGCTGAGAAGCAATAATAACCCAAAATACTTCTAGAAACACAGCAGGAATGACTGTCAAAAGACCAACATTTTAATCAACAAACTTTACACACAAGAGGCTTCCCACTAAGGAATTACATGTATTCCTGCATTTACCACCAGCTTCTTCTACCCCTTGGGCTTCTAAGGGGTCTTCTTAAACCTTCTCTCATCAAGAAATTCCAGGGAGGATGGCTTTTCAGAATGTGACACAACCCAGTCCCTGTTATATGAGCTAATATTGAATGCAGTGTCTCTTCCATTCCCTTCTCACATCCGCCTGGCTTTCCGTGGGCGGCAGCCGTTGTGTGGAACTGGGGTGTTGTCGGTGATGGAGATGACCTCCAAACCTCCCATAGTCAGCCCCTTGATGGCAGCCTGGAACAGAGCAAGACAGCAGATGATATACTGTTATCAACATATTGCAGAGCAGAAAAGGGAAAAAGCTGAGGGGCAAAAAGATTGGTTCCCTGTCTAAAAATCAGCTTGGTTCAATAGTTCTACTTTGGAATTATCTTGAAGTATTAATATCAGAAGGAACATTTTAAACCTCTCACTCCACTCCTTTCGTCAGAATTCCCATCAGCTTTGGTGCTTAAGTGGCAAGAAAACAAATACAGCTTTTATTCTGTCTCCAAAGGAAATTATTCTGAAATTTTTATTATTCTATGTTTTCTTCACCAGGCATTTCAGTGATGAATTCTTTGTATCACCTTCAGAAAAATAAATCAAGTTAATCGGTACTGTCATGAGACCAGCCTCAATTTAAAAAAAAAAAAAGACACAACGTGGATATGTCTGAGAAAGAACAAAATATGAAAGGGAACTGACACCTACTTTGCGTCCTGGCCCCAGTCCTTTCACCATGACTCGTACATGCAGCACACCCTTTCCGCGTGCTTTCTGAGAAAGGAAGAACTGGTTAGTATTCTCTTTGACAAATCTGCCGCTGTTCTGCCTCCCCTGGAGTCCTTCATTCCCTTTTGACCTACTATCATAGTATCCTTTAAGTAAAAATAAAAAGTAGGTGGTAATGGTTATGGAGAAGATAGATGGCGACTGCTGCACAGAACCAGACGCCAGCAGTAAAGGAGCCCTGGATAAACAGTGGCAGTTTGAAGGAAACTTGTGTTAAGCTGTCAACTCTGCATACAGAGAAAGTCTGACATCAAACTATCCATGACCTAAAGACAGGACAGAAAATGACATATCCATGGATACCTGACTAACAAGAAGCTTCTCAAAGCTGTTTTCCTTTATCTAATGCAGTGACTTTTATCTTGTGATCAGTGGATTCCTTCTAGAGAGTAAATGAGAAAAGCAGTCAAGCTTTATATTCACTGTGCAGGAGTCCACAGTGACAGTGTAAAAATTCTAGGGGCTTGCAAATTGAAAATGAAAAACACCTGCTGTAAAGCAGAGCAGTGCTGCCACCAAGTGGAGCTCCTCTGGGTCTCAGTTTCTGTGTTCAGGTGTGATTAATCTACTATAACAGGAATAGGAACAAATCTGGCCAACCACTGTTATGCAGCTTTTATGAGGCTCCAATGAGCAAAGACTAATAGTGAAAGTGTTCTTATATTCCCCTGAATCAACCATAATAAGCTGTTGGCCAGCAGTGGCACAGAACACCTCTGACATGAAAGGTTTCATGTAATTTAGGATGAGGATTTTCAGTTTAACCTTGCCTTATTTTGCTGTAATGAGAACTGTAACACAGCCAGCCTCATTTTTTCCTGTCACCTGGACACCTAACTAGTTTTTTTTTACATTAAACTGTACGCATCTGGAAATTACATCTACGTGGACATCACCTTCTCTGACTGGAACTGCTGGCAGCAGCTCATTTCTCCTGTGGCAGAGAATAAATATAAAGAATTCAGCCAGTAATTACAGCCACTTCTCAATTCCCTACAGCACGAATTTAAACTGCTGCTGAATCAGGGGCTTATATTTCCAAAATGACTGAGGTATGTTCCCTTTCAATGAAAGAGCTACAAAACGAGCTAGGAAATGATAGGCTACAAGTTACAGTCAGCGCTTGCACAGCTAAGCTCACTTTCTGAGCATTTTTATCTGATGTTTCAAACACACTTTGCCAGTGTGAAGATGCTTGCTGTCAGCAAATGGCAGTGTGCTGCTTGAGTGTTAATGAGCAGAGGTCTGCAGTGCTGCTCGTGAGTAAGGGACAGCAACGTGAACAAGAAGCAAAATGTCTTCTGCCCTGCTCTATTCTCCTGAAGATAAATGAAGCTACTGCACTTGTCCCCCATGGACCCAGGTAGCAGGGGGATGCAGGAGAGTGACAACAACCAGTGCAGACTCACCGCTGCTGCCGCTATGCCAGCTGTCTGTGCCGCAATGGCAGTTGCCTTCTTGGCATTCTGGAAGCCTTCAGTGCCACAGGATGTACGGGCAAACGGCCTGTTGTCAAAGCTGACCACTTGGATGTGGGTACTACAGCAAGAGAGCGACAAAAGAAAGAAAGAGAGAAGCTCAAAGAGGATTTTACTCTCATCATGCATGGCTCCGCCACATAACTCAGCTCCCTTCTCAAAGCCATATGAACTCTTTCAAGGCACATCAGTTCTACTCACATGTACTTCTCAGCAATGAACTTCGGAGTTATGGTGGAGATGGCAGAACCTTTGTGGACAGCCTGTTCCTACTGACTGTCCCAAAGATACAGCTAACCCTTTCACACACACTTCTCACAGTAAGCATTTTACCTCTTCTATTTCAGAAGAATAACAGAATCACAGAATGGTTTGGGGTAGAAAGGACCTAAAAGCCCACCTAAAAGGCCCAATCCCCTGCTGGGGCTGGGTGCCCCCATCAGCTCAAGCTGCCCACCCGACCCGGTCCTGAGCACCTCCAGGAATGGGGCACCCACGGCCCTCTGGGCAGCTCAGGTTTACATTCTGTGTCCATTCACGGACTCCCCTGTTTTCTTTTTTCATTTGAAATGCAAAACTTGAAGTGCATTACAAGCCCTCATTGCACAGAACGGGAGAAGCCATCTGCTCACTTGTTGTACGTGGCTTTGATGTGAGCTATCGGGATCTCTTCATACGTCTTTCCGTCCCACCTCATGGAGTTCCTCTGCAGGATTAAGGGGCTGAGGAGCAAAACAACACTTATCAGACACCGGCTCTTTCCATCCGGGTAAAGAAAGAAGAGACGCAGGGAGCCCCGTATCCCCGTGTGAGGCCGATGCCGGCCGGCTCACCTCAGCTCGGTGCCGCTCAGGCTCTCGGCCCCTTTCTCCGCCAGCTCCTGCAGCCTCCGCACGCCTGCGTGCACGCCGCGGCCTAGGCCGGCGCTGCGGGAAGAACGGGAAGGATGGGGAAGTGAGGACGTGAGCAGCGCTCGGAGCTCACCCCGAGCCCGCCGGGCACCAAGGAGCCCCGGACGCCGACATCCCCAAACTCCGCTCACCCGCAGGCCGCGCCGCGCAGCCGTTGCCGGGCGACCGTCAGCACGGCCTGCATGGCTGCCCCGTCCCGCCAGCGGCGTCCCACTCCGCGCGAGGCACGACGGGAGCTGGGAGGAAAGATGGCGGCGCCGGGAGGAAAGATGGCGGCGCCCAGTTCGCTGCTTTGCGGGTTCCGCCGGAGCGCGATGGCGGCGCGCGTGTGGTGGGCTGCGGGGTGCGGCCGGAGCTTGAGCACCGCTCCTCCCGCTGCTGCTCCCCGGCCGTGGAAGCTCTTCGGGGCTCTGTGCCTGCTAAGGCTGCCCCGCATCACGCAGCCCCTCCGGAAGGAGGAGGAGGAGATGGCGGCCCTCATGGAGCAGGTAGCGGGGTGCTGCCCGGGGGAAAATGGCTGCCCCGGGGCTGGGGGGGGTCCGCTGGAGGCACCTCGAGTCTTGCGTTCGGTTTTGGGCCTCTCACTGCAATCAGACACGGTCCTGGAGGTGTTCGAGGACTGGAGATGTGGCACTGAGGGCCGTGGTTAGCGGGCACGGTGGGGTTGGTCTGGGTGATCTTGGAGGTCTTTTCCAACCTTATTGATTCTCTGATTGTGCTGGTGGCCGGGTGGTCTTTGTGATGCCCTTACAGATAGAGCTGGAGAAAAGCCACTACTCCGACCATGAAATCCGCAAGCTGGAGGAGGAGGAGCAGCTCAGAAGGAGGAAAGAAGGCTTGCATGATGATGACGATGAAGAGCTGGGCAGAACAGTTGTTATGGCTCAGGACCTGGAGGAGAAGTGGGAGCAGAAGCTGCTACAGTTCAGCCCGGCCCCGCGGGTTACAGGTACCTATGGAAGTGTTGTGCTCTGGTGGGGAACACTCCAATCCTCTGCCAGGCACAGCTGAGGGCTGTTTGATGGAGAAAGGCATTTTTTGAGGTTTTTTTTTTTTTTAAATCTTGATGCTGTGGCAGTGTGGTCAACACATGAGAAATTAATCATCTGATAGTCGAATCAGTGTTGTGAAGATGTGTGTGTTCATACAACCTTATGAGAGCAAAGTGGGTAAAATCGTAGTTGTTTCCACATAAGAGAAACCTTGGTTCCCATGCTTTCCCACTGCTCTTACTGCTTTTTTTTTTTTTTTTTTTTTTTTTCTCAGAAGCTGGAGGTCCAAGCTTTTTGCCACAAATTCCCTTGAAAATGGACTAGGTGTGCTCTGGCAGTAGTATTTTTCTGAATCTTGCATTGGCTTTCAGAATGTCTGAGAATAATTCTGGCCAGATTCTTGTCCTGTTTCAGATATCTGTGTGTCTGTGTTGTTGGAAGGATATAAGATAAAGAGAAGTGATAAATCATAGTGATTCCAGTGTGGCCAGGAGACTTTATTTCCAGCATGTGTTGGTTTTTGGCAGAGGCTGATAAAAAAAACGATCGAACATCATTGAACAGAAAGCTGGACAGAAACCTGATGTTGCTGGTGAAACAGAAAATTGGTAACCAAGAGCTGTGGCTCCTGCCTCAAGCGGAATGGCAGCCTGGAGAGACTCTGCGAAACACAGTTGAGCGAGCCATGGCTACGTTTTTAGGTATGTAGTCTGTTCTGTGCCTGTCTCACTCCTCTTTGTCCTAGTTGTTTGTTTTTTTTTCCCTTGCCCTACCTGAGGGATATCCACCATCTGTGGCAAAATCGCTTCCCATCTGCTGGGAAGAGGTATTTCATGGCATAGAGATATATCCAGTGTGATGGGGTTTCTGGCAAGAGCTGTGATCCTGTGCTCAGCTGCACTGCATTGTGAGGGGCTGACAGAGCCAGCAGGCTGGGGGCTGGGATTTTTGGCTGCCAGCAGCTGCAGTATGAAGCTCTTGCAGTCTGATGTTTGAGCTTCACTAGATGTCCCCTGAATGGTTGCTCTAAGTGTGCAGCTTCTTTTTTGGTCTTGTTGCCCTGTATCAGCTTTTGTGGCAGATGGGTGATAGCAAACCTGCGTTTCCTTGCTTTTTGATGTGTGTTGGCAGAGTGTGATGCGCTCTCCCTTGTTCTGCAAGGGCTTGGTGAGCTTCAGACAAGTCACTTTTTCATGAGAAGAGACTTAAAGTTGGCAGTATTTCTGCTAAGAAGAGAGAACAGTCTGAACCAGATATAAAGTCATATGCTGTGTGTCTGTTACTATGAAAGTGCAATTACTATTGCTCTATGTCTTATGTTTTGCTTTCTGTTTTCTTTGCTGGGGTCTTGCAGGCGATCACATTCAAGCCAAAATCCTGGGGAATGCACCATATGGAATTTACAAGTATAAATTCCCCAGGGCCATCAGGACTGAGGATAACGTGGGAGCCAAAGTATTCTTCTACAAAGCCTTCCTCCAAAGCAGTGATTTGTCCCAGGCAGAGCTGAAGAAAGATTATCTGTGGGTTACAAAGGATGAGCTGGGAGATTACTTGAAGTTGGAATACCTGAAAAAAATCAATCGATTCCTTCTGGACTTATAAGTGATAGGCTGTGCTCAGGCAGATGGGGAAGATGTGGAATGTGACTCTGGGGAGGAGCACAGCTGCTGCTTTGCGTGGTCTGTGTGAATGGGATGTTAAGCAGGACTCTGGAGGATAAATTGCCTTTGCCTTATTTCCCAGTTCTCTTCACCAGGCCTGTATTAAATAAATATTAAAACTTTATACTCCCAAGTGAAGCTCTCCTCAGGGAGTTCTTTGCTCTTGTTGAATCCTCCTCCACCTTTTCTGGAAATATGTGTTGTGATCTGTTCCTCTCCCAACCATGTGATTCCCTGGGGCTGTGGTACCCAGGAGGCTTGCTCTCCTCACCAGACTCGTGTTGTGGTCTGGAGCTCAAATGGTTTCTTCTAAGTAATGACCAATGCTCATCTCTGACAACTGCTCTTAACTAAGAGCAGTGCTGGATAGTTACATTTGTTTCCAACTGGCAGATGATGTTCTTAGGTGTAAGAGGGAGATTAGCCAGCTAGATAATGGGAGACCTGACAGGGGAGTGATTTTCTTTGGCGTCATTCCAGCTTCTGAAACTGTAGTTTTCTTTAGGGTTGTTATGGTGCTATGGTGTTATGGATACACACATTGCTCTGTGCAGCAGTTGCTTATTCAGGAATTAGCTTTGCAGGCCTGAGGCAGCTCCACCAGCATTTCCAGCTACACTTCGATCTCTCTGGGCACGTTGGCTGAGTTCCTTGTGTGATTCTGTGGAATTCTCTGGCTTCTCCAGAGGTAAGCAGTTCATTGTCCCAGATTGCGGAGATTTCCTTACAGTGCCACCGATGGGTTTAAGTTCCTCTATCCAGAAACAAGAGGGCTGGTACTGCAGAATGGAAATTCTGTATGGATCACAGGCAGCAAGTAAGGGCTCACAGAGCTGTGCAACGCATGTTTCTGGGAAGCTGGAAGCTGTGTTGTTCAAACCTTTGTTACGTTTAGTCCATGTTGGAGCTGCATCTGGCCCTAGAGGGGCCTTGAGTGGAAAGATGCATGAGAAATAGGCAGTAGCTCTTTAGATGACTGCTACTTTCTCACCTATGCCACTGTCCCCCTTGGGCCTGAAACTGGTAACAGTGAAGGGGAGAACCATTTGATCAGCAGTTCTTTCTGGACTGAAAGGCAAACTTTTGGTTGCAGAGGGAAGGCAGCACTAGCGTTCCTACTTCCTGTGAGCAGCCTCAAAGGTGGCTTTGATTCTCAGCTCCTGTTCTCAGTGTACTAGGCCAGCACTGCTAACCTAGCTGAGTCTTTCTCAGGTAGCCTGAACCTACTGCTCCAATTTCTTTATTAGAAGGACTATCCTATGCTTATATTGCACAGTCTCATTTCTCTGGTCTGGTTCTGTTTCTTGAAGTGCTATTACTGTTAGTATAGAGGAAATGCTAAGTTACAGCTTGAAACACTGATTGAGCAACTGGTGGGAAGGCAGGGCCAACCCAGGGAAACTCAGGTGTATGCAATGCAATGCATCTGACTGACTGGAAGGGGTAGAACCAGGATCCACCCCTTCCCAGACCTCATTTGAGGGTTGGCAGTGGAGGCAAGGGGGATCCTGCTGGAGATTCCTGTGTACCTGAGGCCTTCCAAGGGTAAGCAGATTTTTTTCCTTTGTTCCTGTGTCCACAACTGCTGCATTTGAGCATATCCTCACTTCCCACAACCTAAGACTTTGCTATTCCACTATCATTGCTGCATTTTCCTTCGCGTTACTCTTAGAATGTAGCCCAGCACTGGTTAGACTTTGCAGGGAATCTGCCTTCTTTGGTAGCAGGGAGAGGAAGGAAATGGGTGTCGTTAATCATCTGGAAAGTGTTTGGCTTCCAGAGGTGGAGCTGGAGATTGCTATATATTTTTCATCAATCCTTTGAGCAGACCTCAAATTAAAGCTGTTCTTAATCACTCCATGAGCTGTTGAGGTTGGGAGTAGCCTTGTTTCCTAATGCTGGGCAGCTGAGAGCTGCAGGCTTGTCATAGACTATAAACAAAACTTGGTTTCTTGAAACACCCTTACAGACCTGACAAAGGAGGCTGTTTGCAGTGGAGAGCATTTATAAAGAGGGCGTAAATGTGAAGTAAAATACATGCCTGCAAAACTGCAGATTTTTTGGCTGCTGTCTGGAGGTCAGCACTGCCTTCTCTGAGACTTAAAGCTCCAGTGGAGGGGTGAGGTGAGTCCTCCCCCTCAGGCTGTGCCCCTGGAATCCCTAGCAGCCTGGGGCAATGGATGCAGGCAGCCCTGGGTTCTGCTGTTCTCTGCCCCCATTTCAAGCTATTACTAGCTCTGTAGCATCCAGCTTCTGAGCAGAGCTTTGTGGGTGCAGGCTCAGGTTGAACTCCTTGCCAAGTTCTCTTCCCCACTTCCTATACCAAAGGCAGGTTTTGTGGTATGTCATGAGACTTCCAAAGTGTATAAGATGGTATTTAATCAGTGCATTTTTTATCTCAAATCTAGGTGCACATAAGGGAGAAAAGGCTCATCTTGAACCCTGGACAATTCTTATTTTCTGGCTTGCTCAAGCAATGAGTCCCTGTGCACTGTCAGTACTGAGAGGTGTAGCTCCCTCTAGCAATGGACAGGTCAGAATCAACAGCTCTTTAAATTTTATTTTATTTTTTTCCCCAGGATCACGTCCTTGTTCTTCTAGGCAGCAGGTGCACAGGAAACCGAGTCTCTTCTGGAAGTTGGGACTGTTGCTTTCTCAGCACCTAAAGCAAGAATTCCTGCTCCTAGTCTACATAGGAACGTAGTCTTTTATTACTTTTTTCCCCTGCAGTTTATTCTGTTTAAAACCCTCAATTAGTTGCTGCAAACAATGCCAGATCTCCTTGTTTAGGTGCTTTTGCTCACTTTTTGATCTGTGTGTTGTCCTTCCCATTGGCCTCAGTGAGGCAGCATACCATGGAGATTTCCTAGGGGAGAGGATGTTTTTTGTATATTCTCTCTACTCCCAAAGGTCCTGTAGCAGATCACAGTGGCAGTTTCAGAAATCTGTGGCTACAAGTTAATTTTTCACTCTGTGCCTTGTGGAGCTGCAGAAGTCTGGTCAGGTAGCTGATCTATTTTAACCATTATCTATTGAAAGGCCAGCACAGCACCTTGGGACCTTTTCTGAGAGAGCCCCTCTCTGCTGGAGCAGAAGAAACCTCTCAAGTTGTAGCTAAGAGAGAGCTGCCTTGAATGCAGCCCAGCACAAAGAGCAGGGAAGGCATACGAGTTAGGCTGAGCAGAACACACGAAGCTCACGTTGCAGATGTGATGGAGAACTGTTCAAGTATTTGCCTGTTTTTTTGGGAAGTTTGGTGTTTGTTTGCACCCAGAGCCTCAAAGGTTTTTCTGACTTTGGCTTTGCCTCCTCATGAGCGCTCTCCATCAGAATGTGAAGCAGCAGCAGGTAGCTGGAAAGGCACCAGGTTCGCTTTAGCTCTCTAGTGCAAGGCACTGTCAGATCAATTGAAGAGCTCTCCTGTGAAGTGTGTGTCAGAGAGCTGTATTTTGGAAAGGGCCTCCTGTGACTCCTCACTTTGAGAGCAGCCGTGTGGAGCTCAGCTGAGAAGTCCAATGTGAGATTGGTACTGCAGCCGCCAAGGCCATTATTTGAGTGTTATCTTCTCCACATTGCACAGCCTGGGGAGAAAGCTGCAGAGTGCTGACAGACTGCAGAGACTTTCTGCTCTTCAGAACCATTTTCTGCACAGAGCACTTTCGTTCATGAGGGCAGAACACAAAAGTCAGATCATTCTGCCCTCAAAGAAGAAAGACGCATATCTGTCTGGAGGACCTTTCCTTGGTGCAGTGCAGTGTAGCAGCCATTGCAAAAACCTCCAGAAGCAGAAATAAATATAAGCATCAATTGCAGTCTAAAATTCCTCTGTTGAACTTATTGCTTCAGTCACCGTGTTAGAAGAGAGAGGTGAAGGTTTTCTTTGTGACAAATTGGATGCTAGCTGTCCCCTCCAGCAATGGAGAGATAACAAGTCCTAATAAGACCACTTCTCAGCTTCACAGAAACAGATTTCTGCTGCTTCCCCTACGAAATACCTTCCTTAGCTGATATCCTGCCCTGTCAGCAGGAGTTTTGGGAATTGGTGGCCTCTAAGCAGAACCCCCTTTGCATGTTTTGTGATACAGTAACACCAAGCTGTTCAGAACTGCATGCTTTCTCATGTAATAGGAAACTTATTTTTTTTTCTTCTCCTGTCTGGCTCCAAGCAACTAAAATACTTCAATATTTGGAAGATAAATGCATTCAGAGCCAGAAGAGACCGCTGGAGCCACAGGCTACACTGCTTCCTGCTCTCTGAAAACCTGAATGAGGAGAGATGCTATTGCTCCCAAATACTTGTTAGCTTGTTAGAACAGGGAAAGCTGCCCTGTGTGGCCCTTCTTGCAGGGACAAGGGATAGGCTGTCCCATAAGATGAGAGATCTTCTGTGGCTCCATCTGCTCTTGTTCTGTCTAAGCTTCCCTGTGTCTTGGAATGGGTATGTCTCTTAGGAAGGAGTTTTTCATCAGTTCCCAGGGTTTCTGTGAGTACTGCATAAGCCTGCATAGAAAACATCATGGGATGCTCTGCTCAGGGCATCTAGGACGTCCAGCAGAAAATGGTGTGGGAGGTCTGGTTGAGATAGGTCACCAGTGATGTGGTTGGGTTATGTCTCATCTTTCTGTTTCAATGTTTCCCTCCCATTTCTGGATGAACACTGAGTGGCACAGGCAGAGTGTTGCACTCACACGAATCTTTGCAAAGGTAAAGACTTGCATAAAAGAGGAGAGCTACTGGAAAACTGGAAGTTGGTAAAATTGCTCCAGAAACTTTGCTGTTAATACTCAGACCTCAACACCATACCCACAAAAAGCAAACCTGGGCATTTGTGAGGTAAGCACAAAATGCTGGCAGCAGGAAGCCCTTCAGGTTGTTCTGGATACAGCTTTGCTGTCGAGACTACATTTCCATAACAGATAGTGGGGTGTTACACAATCCTTTGGCAGGACTTCATAGGCAATGCTTGGAGACACAAGGACATTTCTTGATTGAAATACGAAGGGACTTTGAGCAACGCTGACGTAAATCTTCTTCAAAATCCAGGCAAGGCAATAAAGCCTTTTTGCAGTGGGTTCAGGACTCATGGCCTCATCGAAGCCCCCTCCAGAAGCAAGAAGAGTGCTAGAAGGAGCCAGCTACTTACACAGCTCCTGTGGTCATCCCATCTCATAATTAAATGAGACAAAGCTTGCAAGATTTCACAGGTAAAGGTTTGCACCCAGGGGCAGGCTGCTGCCTCCTCATGCTGCATGCCAGCTTTCTGCACTCTCTCATCTATCAAAGTAATTATGCCCATTATGTTTCTCCTTTCAGGTTTTACCCTCCCAAATGTTATTCCTCTGCATTAAACCCGTGGGGGAAGTGAGTTATTGAGGAAAGTAACCAGGTATAATCCAGGTTTAATAGGCACACAGAAAAAGCATGCTGGTCTGGGAGGGTGGTCCAGCCAGCATTCTGCTTCTGCAGGCAAATAGAAATTTGTCTTGATGTGTGTATATATCCAGCTTTGTGATCTGTGAGCTCTTAATAATTGGTTTGGTGACCTGCTACCAGTGTTCTCTCTCTGTAGAGCTTTCTCCAGTCCCTGGTTAATACAACGGGTCACAAATCCCATTTGCTTTTGAATTCTGAGTAATCCTTTCGTTAATGTTGCCTAGTGCTTTTTTGGAAGCATTGAAGGAAATTGGAGCCCTGTGCTAATCAGTAACTCTGGCTCTGCATGTTTGTGAGCTGCTGCCCTGGCTGGCTTTTCCAAATGACCGTGGCAGCCTGTTTATGTCAAACACCAATGTGTGCCTCTACAAAGCAGCAATTGCCTCTGAGCCGTGGTATTACACAGGGCACAGGCTGGGAATGTTGGCTGAGGTTTAGGAGAGCAGTGAGGTGTGATGGGGTGGCTGCTGGTGCCACGTTCCTGCTGTGGTGGTTTCCCACTGGTTGGGAAAGTTTAATGGTGTCTTTAACACCTGCAGCATCTGAATTACGGTTGGTGTCTCTTGGTTTTGTTTTTTAATTTTTGTTTCCTGTCTTTTTTTTCTGTAGTTTGTTGATCTCCACGTTGCTGACAAGCATCACGCCTTACCCCTTTTCACACTCCCTATTCCTAGCCTGTCTGTGGCATTCCTCACACAATGCGAGCGTGCACCGTTCTGCTTGGAGCTGCTGACAACAGCATTATGACCTTGAGGATAGCAGCATGTTACAAAGCAGCATGTATTGCATTTAGTTAACTTGCTGTAGCTGGGCACTGCATTTACAAGCTGCTATTGAGGCCCCTGCACCTCAGGCTTGTGCTGGGTGCTCTTGGGCAGCACTGTGCAGTCACCTCCCCTTGCTTTGGGTCTTCTTCCTTATTAAATGCCTCCAGGATTTGGGCTGTTTGATTTCCAAACCCTTTCCCTGGTGCAGAGGGAGGAGCAGGGAGGGGAGCTCCCTGCACTGGGAGCACAGTGAATGCATCGTGGCTCCAGCGTAAGAGAAATTCCTCCAAGGATGGAGTTGCACGCTGCCTGTGGCACAGCTCCGTGTTGGGCACTAGATGGCAGACAGTGACTGGGAAATCCCATTGTGGAGCTTTCCATCCCTTCCCCCTTAAAATCACCTGCTCCAGAGTGGGGAACCTAAACCTGGAGTAAGGATCGCTAGTTCTTAACCTGGTGGCTTGAACTTCAAAGGGTCCTAAGGACCAGCAGTGAGTCGTGTTTGCTCCATGGAGGCTCAGTGGGTAACCAGATGCTCAGTGGAACCTGTAGGACAGGGAAATGAGGCAGGGATCAGACAGCTGGGTTTGATGATGGAGGATGCTTGGGGCAGCTGGGTTCCCACATGTTATGAGGGGGCAGGAGCGGCAAAAGTCCCTCCTTACTCACCCTTATCGCCTGGGATTTTGGCTTTGCCAATTGCTGCCCCTGACCCTATAGTGCTAAGGGTGAGACAGCCCCTGCAGTGCCAGGCAGCTGCTTGTCCCCCCGGGCATGGAGTTGTGCAGCCAGCCCCATGCTGGGTGTTGTCGGTTCCCCTAAGCACCTTCCAACAAAAAGGGGATTATCTATAGCTTGTTAAGAGTCCTAGCAGGGAGGGAGAATAAGGCTCTTTGCTCTGAAACGTTCTCTTCCCTGGGATTACAAGATAATGCATATGAAATGACATTAGCTCAGCCAGGTTTATGGATTATTTGAAAATCAAATTCTTTTAATCTCATCCACCATCTGGCACCGGTGGAGCAGCCAGCTTGCTGCCACTTCCACCCTGCCTGTGTCAGAGCAAGGGGACATGGCATCCATGCACCCTGGCACCAGTGCCAGCCTTGTCCCCATTTTTCTGACAGCATAGAGGTGACAAGTCCCAGGAGCCATCTATAGGGAGGAGGTGAGGCTGGTTGACAGCCCTGCCTTCTCCCAGGGCGCAGCCAGCCCCTTCTGCTGTTTGGTTGTATCTTAGTTGGTTTTCTTTTTTTGGGGGGGATGAGGAACATGAAGCCAGGCACACTGCAGCACTGCTCAGCTCTCGTGTCTGTCATGAGTTGCTTTGCCCTCTTTGCTGAGCTTCAGTAGGACCATCCATCTTCCCTGTCTGCTCCAGAACACTGCTGCACCTACTACCAAGGAGCGTTATAATCTCAGTGCCCATTTAACATGAATAAAAAGCCTTCTGGGACAATAGGTCACGGTTATACAATTTAGCTCAAGTAGAAAAAGGGCCTTTATAGCTATGAATATATGAATACTTAAAATATATATGTAACATTGGTTAACACCGGGACATGTAAGCATAATATATACATAGCGCTGGGCTAACAGTTTGCTCCTTGGCTCCCTTTTCAGAAGGCTGTGGCTGTTCTGCCTGTCAGTTCCATCCCAACAGCAATTCGTGGCTGGAGTCACAATTCTGCACTGGTACAGAGAGTGTTCACCATGGGCAAAGGGACGCTGAGCAACTCAGTGGGGATTGGGATGCAAGCAGTGTGGATGCAATGCTTCTGCCTGCAGGTAAGGGATGGCACGTGGAGCCAGCAGCTTGCATGCAGCAATTTGCTGTTGTGGCTTGTGTGTCCTGAGGATGGTTACATGCAATAAAAAGGGAAAAACAAACGGCAAGAAAAAAATCGGTGGTTTTAGAGACAGAGAAACATTGTTTCTGTAGGTGATTATTAATTACACAATTACAATGTTGTCTGTATCATTAGGATTATTTGTATTTTTAGTACGTTGTAGTTTTAATTAAATAAATCCTTAGATTGTTTTTACCCTCCTTTGTAATGGGAATCCTTTTTTTTTTTTATTAGTGCCAAAGAATAAATTAATTGTGTAATTAGTGACTATTACTTTGTCACTTCTGAAAGGGTTCTTTCCAGGTTGTACACATGTAGTGGCTACAAAAGGGTTGTAAAAAGCTGTTTGGTACCGAGACTCCCTGGAAATAGCTGTCTGTGGCTGGGGTTGCTGCTGGAGGTGTGGATTTGGCAGCACAGCCAGTGAGAGGAATGTGGAAAACCTCTGCCAGGGCTGGCAGGGGGAGGAGGCTGTCAAACCCTGATGGTGTCCCCTTGCTTACTGCTTGCAAATAAACGTGTTTCACTCTGATGTAGAAATGCCTTTCAGAAAGCATCCTCAGGCTCTCCATAAACAGGATCTGGTGAAGCTGTGACTGCTTCCACATGCTCCTGCTGGTGGTACAAGTGAAGCTGTAGGGTAAGATTTCAGCATGTGCCATCCGTTGTTGCTGCTGGTGGCATGTTAGCCAGTGCCCTGCCATGCGTAGGGTACATAGCAGATTCCAGGCAGGAAAAAAAGAATTTAACACGCAGGGAGTGTTAGGGTCTTAATAGATCTGCACTTATTATTTGGGGAAAAAAAAGAATCAGGATTACAGGCTTATGAGGGATTAGCAAGCATGAATGCCTATTTCTGCATATACTGCTCCTTTGTAAATCCATTGTGCCACTACACTGATATAGAGTTATACCATTATAAGCATGATATCAGTGTATCTGATAACCTTGATTAGAAGATCCAGCAGCTGTGCTAAGAAAAACAGCCCTGCAGGGCTTTCCCACTGGTGTACTGATTGTATCCTGCTTATGGCCACAAAAATGACCGGAGGGATGGAACACCTCCCCTACAAGGACAGGCTGAGAGCTGGGGCTGTGCAGCCTGGAGGAGAAAAGGCTCTGGGGAGAGCTGAGAGCAGCCTCTCAGTGTCTAAAGGGGCTGTAAGACAGAAGGGGACACTCTTTAGTAGGATCTGTTGTGATAGGACAAGGGAAATGGTTTCAAACTAATAGCGGGTAGATTTAGGCTGGATATAAAGAAGTTTTTTGCAATAAAGGACGGTGAGGCACTGGCACAGGATGCCCAGAGAGGTGGTGGGTGCCCCATCCCTGCAGACACTCCAGGTCAGGCTGGACGGGGCTCTGAGCACCTGATCAGCTGTAGGTGTCCCTGTTCAGTGCAGGGCAGTTGGACCAGACGATCTTGAAGGGTGCCTTCCAGCTTCCACCACGGTTTCCCCTGGACGGGCACCTTGTGAGCGTCACCCCTGCTCCTGAAGGGTTTGGATCACTTGTTGAAGTGATCAGATTGAGGCTTGAAATATCCCAGCTGCCCTCTCCTGGGTGGTTTAAAGCAGCAGAAGGGAAATGAATGGCATGGGGACCCATCTCTGTGCTCAGATGTGGTGGTAGAGACATTGGGCTGTGAAGAGGTGCTCAGATCACTTGGGTATATATGCAAATGTCTCTCAGCTGTGGCTGAAACTGTGTTTTTAGGCATGGCTAAAATATGAAAAGATCTTCATAACTGTGGTATGTCTGTTGGCTTCAAATACTGCATGCCCTCAAGGGTGTCTCAGCTCTTGGAGCCATCTGGAAAGGATAAGAAATAAGTGCAGACCTGGGCAGCTTTACCAGGCTGTAGCTGCTGCCTGCTGTGTCAGCATGAACAACCTAACCTCTGGCTGTGGTCTTACCTAGGAGATGGTCATTGTAAGCAGGGATGTGCTGAACAGGATATGGAGTATTTATGTTATGTGAAGAACTCCATGTGCACATGGATGTTTGATTTTCACTAAATATTTTTCTGTCTAATTCAAACGTAATTTTTTTTTTTCCAGGGAATTGTAATAATAAGAGACTGTGTGTTTCTAACTAAATAGCAGCCTGTGCTTGGTAGGCAACCCAGTGTTTGGTTTGAATGGAGTTTCTGCTTTTCTGACTCTGGGAGTCACACAGCAATAAAGTGAGGGCCCCTTGTTGGTGGAGCCAAGGGCAGCACGACCTCCCAGCAGCCAGCAGGACGGAGCAGACCTGGCTCTGTTCCCTGCTACTCAACCATCACTGTACAGGGCAGTGTCCCAGGAGTGACCCCAGCACTGGGGACAGCTGTCCCTCTCTACAGAGTGTCCTCAGTGCTGCTGCTCTCGTGCCTCTTCGTGATTTCAGCAAGGAAACTTAGATCCACTTGTTCAGACTTGAGTGCTTTGGGATTCTATTTATCCTGTGTATTGTGCCAGGCTCCTGCCACTTCCAGTGCTTAGATCAGTGTTGAATGTGAGATTCCAACATCATTTAGAGTGCTTGGGTAAGTGGTGTCCTACTTTCCTCCCCCTAGGACTGTATATCTTTGGGCTAGTTTGTTGTTTGTTTGTTTTTTCCTTAACCATGCTTAAAATTTCTTTTGGCCAAAGTCTCTTTTTGTGATGTAAGTGTTCTGACAAATCTGACCCTATGTTCCACAGCAGTTCTGCATGAATGAACCAGGTAGGTCAAGCAATCTTCCTCTCTGCTTCCTTCCCCAAAGTTGAAAAAAAAAACCAAAAACAAAAGAATAACCCCACAACAACAAACCTGGTGTGCAGGACCCAGTGTGTGCTGGAGACCCTACAATAACAAACCTGAGTGCACAGCCCAGTGCTGATGAGCACTGACATAGCTTCAAATGTAGTGATGTTCCTGCTGATGCGTCCCTTCTGAGGACATCAGCATCAGCAATCCTTTTAGCTGTGAAGCAGAGAGGATGACTCATGGACCATCCCGACGCAAACAGTGTCAGTACCTTGATGGTCCATCAGGTTTCCAACTTGCGTCAGCAAAACCGGAGGTGAAGAGGGAAATGAGCGACAGCACAACCTGAGTTTGAGGAGAGGAGAGCAAGTGCTATGGAAAATAAAACTCCTACTGAGCCTGTGTCCCCACTCCTCACCAGCCCCATCCTGCTGGGAGAGCCAGCTCTCAGACCTTCAGGCACAGAATGTTCCTGTCACTTGTAGACATTATAAATGTTGATTCTTGACATATTCTCCAATGGGCTCCAAATTCTTTCTCTGCCAATGGCCTGAAAGCATCTTCCCTGCCTCTCTGCAGAGGCTTTCTGGGCCTGGTTCTCCGGGCATTGTGGGACATGTGTCCTGAGTTGGACTGGGAGTTTGTTCTCCCTGCAAATCCCTCTCTGGAGTCCCATTCAGCCTCCAGTGCCACCCCTTTTCCCCTGCGGTCCCTCCTTGGGGACCTGTTAGGATGGTCCTGCCCTGGCAGGTGTGGCAAGGTTCTCTTTGAGAAGAGCACAGGTGCCTGGAGAAGTTCAGTTTGCTGTGAATCATGGGCTGCTGGTGCAAGAAACCCTCCTTTCGTTGAGGCCAGAAGCAGACCAGAAGTGGTGAATGTGAGAAAGCTGCTAAGAGCGAACTTCAGATGATGTGAATGCACTTGCAATAATTAATGGCTCTTTTTATCTGAAGGTGCTTAAAAACTGACATCTTCTGGAGCCATGAGAGTGAGATCTTTAGGATAAACAAGGAAGAGTGTTTCTTTTTTTAAAGATGTTTCAACTGATGTAAGAATTTAATATATCCCTGTGCGTCTCTCCCTGCTTGAAACCCTTAGGAGAAGAAAAACTGGTGAGAGAGAAAGGGCTTGGTTTGGATCCAAAGGCAGCCGGGCTGGAGCACGACCTGTGATTCAGATGTCACCTTTGCTGAGTGCTGAATGGGGTGAAGAGCCCCCTGTTCCTGCTGCAGGGTGCTTCACACCTGCATCCTTCCATCCTCCATTACTGCCCCAGTCTGGTGGGATACCCTTCCCCCAGGTAGCAAACCTGATAGAGCTACAGGGAGAACAAGTGAGTATTGAACTGGAGCTGGGCTGTAATGATCTGAAAAAAAGAAAAAATTAAATCTGGTTTTCGATGCCTCAGCCGGATCTTAAAAAGGGTTTCACTGTTCCTAAAGCAGAAATGTAAGAGAATGCTCTGCATCTGTTTACCATGCAGAAGGGTCAAAAAAGGCTCTTCTCCCCCCCAGGGTCCCTGCAGTTTCTCTAGCAGAATTAAAAGGCACACGCAGAGCTGTAGCAGCAGGGTGAGGAGGAGAGCAGAGCAGAGGGAACAGAAGCACCAAACCTTCGTTTCATCCCACCTGCGCTGCGGTGCTGACTTGCCCTGAAGAGTTGCAGGAAAATCCTGTGTAAATGGAACATAAATGTTTTATGAATTCAGCCCTGGTGGAGTAAATTAAAGGGTCATTAATGGCCTCATTAAAGAGCTTTGCACTTTGTTCTGAATTATGAAAGCTATCATGCAATGTTAAACTAAATGGAGTTTTCGTCGAGATTTTGAAACTCTTTAACTAGTTCTCTTACCCCCCCCCCCCATTCTTTTCTTCCCTTTTTTTTTTTTTGTTGATGAGAAATGTCTTTTGAGGGAGCCGCCTGTAGTGCTACAAACTAGATTTCAATTATAAATCTTCTTATGCTCCACTAATTGCCCAGAATTTTTCTCGAGAGCTGCCTGAGGTTAATGCTGATGAAGAAAGAACCCTTTTGTCTTTTCTTGAACTGGGGCCTCCCTCACTGCCTCTGGCGAGATGTCAAGCTGGGAATTACCTCCAGTGACACCCAGATGGTACATGGAAGGGACAACAGATGAATTGGTCACAGCTTCTTCTTGGCTCACTGCGGGTTGGGGAGAAGCCTTCAGATTCTTCAGGGCTGCCAGCTGACCCTGGCCCAGAGAAGTGTTAGAGTCCATCTCCTCCATTTCACTCTTCCACTCCAAAAGAGTGGCGGTGCACTGGCACAGCTGCCCAGGGAGGTGGTGGAGTCACTGTCCCCAGAGGTGTTCAAGAACCTTGGGGATGTGGCACTGAGGGACGTGGTCAATGGACATAGCAGGGCTGAATCAACAGTAGGACTAGACGATCTTAGGGATCTTTTCCAACAAGCCCTCCCTGCCCCACCAATGTGCTCATTTCTTTGACTTGTTGACTTGCCCTCTGCAAATTCTTTACACAGCGACGCGACAAATTAAACCCCTTATTAACTAATTAAGCTATTTCTCCAACCAGGCAGGAAGGCGAGAGAAGGTTGTTATTCTTTCTATTTTTAAATACCTGCAAGAGGCACACGTGTCTGAGATGCGTGGTGGACGGCTCCAGCTGAGCTGTACCACTGCAGCCTGACACCTCTACAACAAAACCCATCAGGGATGGAGCTTACTTGTTTTCCTGTTTAGTTTGCACATCTGGGGGCAATTTTGGTGTCCAAAAAGGCTTCCTGTACCTCCAGGTGTTCAAGAACCATGGAGATGTGGCACTAAGGGATATGTGGTTAGAAGCATGGTGGAGGTGGGTTGACAGTTGGACTGGATGACCTTAGAGATCTTTTTCAACCTTGATTCTGTGATTCTTTAATGGGCCTTGTAGTGTGGGGAAGGCACAGAGCTCAATACTGCAGCCTGCGAGCACACGTTTACTTTGAAGTTGGTGAAGTTTTCTGGCATTTTAGCAAAATCAGAGCTGAGCAGCAACCTGCCCTACACCAGGGATGTCCTTTTCTGGCCTCCTTGCAGCTCCATCATCCCTCTTGCTTCTGAGCACGGCACCATGCACGGACCCAAATGCAGGCAGGTGTGACCCTCCCTGGGTCTGTGGGCTGAAAGGGGCTTGGAGCTGTGATGGTCCACAGTTGCAGAGGGTTTGGGGTGAGTGCTGTGGTGGGAGTGCCTGCAGAGTGTGCTGTGGCTTCAGGGATGCTGTGTGCCTGGGAGCTGGGATGGAGGGGTTTGTGGTTTTCCTTAGCTGGTGGCATGGTGGAAGGGTTCTTGGGAGAACACAGCACAGCTGGTGCAGCCCTGGGTGTAGAGAGCGTCATGCATTTGTCTTGGTCTGCACAGACAGGAGATGCTAGGGCAAAGGGAGCCTGAAGGATCCTTGGGCAGAGAGATGGCTGCAGGCACACCTGAGGAACCCCAGAAATGCTTTGCTGTGGTGTTTTCAGTGAAGTGACT